ATTGCCTCTACTTAGTAATGTCTTACTATTCTTAAGTTGCAAAATTCTTTTGTTGGTGGCCTTCATGTTTTAAAAGAAAAGGCTTCAAGCATTGGGAGTCATAATGGTAGGATTGTATTTGTAGATCTTTTCATAACTCTGGAAGCACACCAACAGTCTAAGAAAACTGATAAAGAGGAAGAAACCATTTCCCTGGACTTTGAAATCCCTCATCTCACCCTGCCCAAGGCAGAGCTATGGACTGACAAATAAACTGTAAAATATAGCCCTTTCTCTTATTTGGTTCTCTCTCCTCCAAGTTGAGTTGAAAGCAACAAGTTGTTAGCCATCACCAAATTGAATCCATTGTATCTATAACCAGACTGAGAAGGGGCTGTGGGAAGCTCAGGAAACCTTTAGCTGTAGAATGTCACTTTGTGCTTGTACATAAACCAGTATCATTCTATGTAATTTCAGTCCCCAGCAGTCTACACTTCTTCCCCCAGGCTTTCAGGTAGATATCTAATCTTAAATAGGTGCATGTTCCCATCACGACTGACCTTCAGGTTTGCTTAAAGCACAAACGGTCTCACATACCACCTCACCTGTGTTTAATGAGAGTCATTTCCTCATGCCAACGTTGGGTTAATGTACTGAGGTGGAGGAAAAACAAACTGATCTCTCTGCTTTACACCAGATTGCCTTTCTGCCTTGTGGCTTTTACCACTCCGTCCTTCCCACGTCTGCCATAATAACAATTATGGCTCTTAGCTGCTTCCTCACCCAGGAGGACTGCGAGGGGATAGCAACACCTCCGGAAAAAATCAGGGCAAATGCTTAATCTGTTTCCAGCATAGTGGGTAATAATTTTCCTTTGCAAATCCCCAAGGGGTGCTTCTGTGGGCTCTCACACCCACCATCATGCAGGTTTGTGGCACTGCTGTGATTTGTAAGGTTTCCTCTATCTTTCCTCTTCTGAAATAACTTTTAATTATGTAGACAGATTGTAAAAGTCTATTTCTTCTTGTAAACAACTATTTCTTTGTTAGTACTAGATTTTGTTTAACTGTTCTGCCCCTATCTGAATCATCTAAGATACCAAGGAAATGTGTCAGTTCATTATTTTACTGCGGTTATCAAAGAAAGCAAAGGCTGTCTGATTTTCATAGTTTCCCTTGGGAGTTTTTCTTTACTATACATACATGATTGGAACACACACACACACACACACACACACACACAGAGAGAGAGAGAGAGAGAGAGAGAGAGAGAGAGAGAGAGAGAGAGAGAGAGAGA